CCAAGCAGAAGCATGAAAACGAAACATATATGCAGAAGACCAACCATGCGAATAAGTGGCTGGCTTGAGGGAGTGTTCAGAGGTTCCCAGGCAAAAGCGTGCTCCCCCCGCCGTTTGTGGCGAGATCTACGTACTGTCACTGTTGGATCGAAGCGAATTTGGGCCTCGGGTTGCCTCTTGAATTCCTCTCCAAAGTCGGAACAGATGTACAGGTGTGTTAAAAAGACACTAGGATTCATGGGCCAGGTTGGGCCGGCTGTTGTGAGGTTTACCTGAGAAAGCACGACGACATGCTTGTTTAAAGATTTCACACCAAGAACTCGCATGCACTCGGATTGTCCGAAAAGTGGAAAATCCCCCTAGGCACCCTCAGAAGTCAGCGCGTACCCCAGGGACTTTTGCAGCCACGCTCGGAGTTGGCATCAGGGGTCTTCTCCCCCGTTGCAGTTAGGAGGAAAAGCCTCCTTCGTCGCTGTTCCCCCGGTGTTGTCGGGAGCGTTCCATGTGGCTTTGCACTGCACGGACCGCTTGCCACATGCGGTTTGGTAGAAGTCGTATTCCCCCATCTCGTGGTGCGCCCTCGGGCTCATTGGGCTTTTGCCCCAAAATGCCTTCACTGCGTCCTTGGTCGGAGGGTCTTCCAGATTCTCCCCACGGCCAACTGTCGTGGGTTGGGTCGTCGTCTGTTTGCTCGTCATCCCCCCAGTCTGGTGGGGTGTCCTCATCTGGAAGTGCACTCCCCCTGCACACCATTCTCGCACGATGGGCTTCGTTGTGGTCTGCTCTCTCCGCTGGTTGTGGTAGCTCGCCTTGAAGTGCTGCACTTGATTGGGAGCTGCCCCCCCTCGAGGTCTCTGTTGTCACATGCTTTGTCGCGGCGTGGTCGGTCTCCTCCGTCTGCTGTAGTAGGGCATCTCCGGGGCCATGTCCAGAGTTGTCCCCCTGCGAGGTAGACTCCCCCGCTGCTGGGTGTGTTCCCCCGTCTTGTCGGAGCTTGTTGCGAATTTTCCTCGCCTTTGGCAGTAGAGTGTAAACTTTGTCAGGAAAACGCGCCACAAAGGCCCGAGTCTCATCCGCCTGTAAGGGGAGGTACTTGTC